AATATTTTCATGTTCTATCTCATACTTTGAGTCGGTGATTTAATACCATGCTCTAATTTGAAAAGCTGAGAATTTACTAATGTGTGACGCATCTAAAATTAGGAATAATGTAGTAATAACAATAATATTAACAATAATAATAAATTCATATTTATGACACGCTGCAAGTGAATGAAGACAATGTTTAAGCGTAGTTTAGTTTTCTCCACAGACCATCTCCCTTTGGACTAGATAGAAAGAAAATACAACATTCACTAATACATCCATAGATAAAACAAGATTTGAAATTCGTTGCTAAAATATCCTTCGAAGCAGTAAAGCATAAGTATCTGGATTTACAGCTCACTTGTAGCGCAGAATAATGAGTATGAGAGCAAGCATCAGTTCTCTGAATTTAACAAAAAGTTCGTGTGTCTGCTGATCTGCTGATACTTGTGGTGTGTGTGTGTATGTGTGTGTGTGTGTGAGGGGAGAGAGAGAGAGAGAGAGAGAGAGAGAGAGAGAGAGAGAGAGAGAGAGAGAAAGATAATAATAGTGATGAAACAATTATTTATCACGGATCATCTGCACACTAACTTGTGTTCCTCAAATTCATGTACCTTATCTATTGTGATTTATCATGACAAAGTTTTGTATCGAGCTTATCGCATGAATTTTAATGATTTTCCCGAATCAGAATATAAACGACTTCATAAATCACCTTTATCTAAAACACGAAAAAGTTGTAAACAAACGATGTACTAGATGACTGGAATGAAAAGAATAGCTAATATGAGCAATGGAACAAATAAAACTGATGCATAAGTGAATGAAAGAGAAAAGTTAATTGCAAATGAATATATTATCATATTAATAAAATTAATAATCAAATAAAATAATTAATAACTAATGAACCATCTTTAATGTTACAAAACTAAATGGCATATAGTTAGAACATTTAAGAATAAAAACATTTAGCATTACCTTGCAATATCGTCTCAATTTAGGGTAATTGACAGAGACAAAATACAACAAACTATTTGGTTTCAATTACTTAATAACACATAGTTCATGCCGGTACAAGAGTCGCGTTTTCCCATTTTCATGCGTATCCTTTACTGTTTCCGGTAGTTTCGTTCGTGCCGTCTTTCATCGCACCCCTCCCCTCTCGTTACACCCGTCCCGCGTGCGCCTGGTCGTTCTCTAAAGTCGTGGCGAGCAATCTCTGCAACACGAAGCATCGGGCGCAGCAACCGCCCGCCTGCGCGCCGCTCTTCCCGTAACCTCAGCGGCGCGCCCCCGCGCGGGGCGACGGGCGGAGCGGGCGGGCGGGCGGGCGGGCGGCGGGCGGTGGCGTGTGGGTGGGCGGTGGGCGGGCGGGCGGGCGGGGCGGGGCGGGGCGGGCGGGGCGGGCGGCACGTGGCCGGGGTCCCGTGCCGCGGAAAGTGCTTCTGCGCTGGCGTCAGCCGCAACGCCCCTCCCCACTGGACGCTCTCCGCCTGTTCGGATGACGTGTGGACTTGTTGGAGTGCAGGGATGATGGGGTCATCTGGATGGTCTAACGAAGACTGGAATGCCCGTGCTTCGGTTTGGTAATGGGTTACGATGGTGCGCTTTGTGTCGGATGTAGCTTACACTGATGGAAACTGAGGTTGTGTTTGGTTGGTTCTTAGGAGTAGAGTCAGATGGTTTGTATCGTATGATGAAATCGCGCGGTAGATAGCGTAATTGGTTGGCAAAGCAAACATTGTTTGCCATCATTTTTCTGTTTCATGATATAGTTCTAATTTATTAGCATTATTGTTCTTGCGAAATTTAAAGAGAGAAAGTATGTATTAGTGTGCATCGTATCACGCCCACGATTGTCACTACGAAAAAGTAAGGATATATTTAAGACACAGTGTAAGATAAAATCTAATCTGTAAATTAATATACTAAGAAATTCCGAAAAAAAAGTCTACCAGAGAACCCGAACGTTTTGCAAAATGTTAATTATCCTCAAAAGATTCAAAGGCTTGGGGAAATAAAAAATACCAGTCGCGGCAGACTCCTGAAATTCGTAAATGTTAATATCATTTTGGTTGAAATATTATATCTCCCTTGCTACAGCGCGGCCCTTAACAAATATGAAGACAAACATTTTATACATGCAGTGAATAAGAGGTTAAATTAAATTTCCCTACATTTCAAGACACGACTTTGCACTACTAGAATTTTTTACAGTGTGTAGAATCATAATTTTAACAGTGTATGAAACGTGGTAAATGTTATCCCATTGTTCGTAACTTCTTACTATTACGAACAAGATTTTAATAACTGTCATCAGTACACAGATAAGCTGCCTTGTTATTGCGCCTAGAAAGTAGGGTATAATGGCTTAATCACTTATTTGCTCACAATACAGATATATGGTAACACTTTATTGTTACCAACTTTTTCCAAAATCGAAAAATGATGACATTTAGAAAAACAGCGCGAGGCTTGTGATCTATCTCGTTACTTCAAGCCTTCAGTTCCATAATGTCCCGTTTATTGGTGACAGCCAGTGAGAGAATTTATCGACGATGACTCTGACAATGTCGAGCAAATGTTGACGGACGCGTGGTGGTAGTAGTATTAGCCGTGGTTTATTCTTCTGTACATTAGCCAAACCAGGGAAGCGATATGAACGTAGCGCCAAGGAACTTCTTCGGGTTGCACGCGAGAGGCGGCTTCGAAACGCCGCGGCGCGCGCGCGCTGCCGAAAGACGGGGCGGAGGCGTCAGAGGGAGCCCGACACGCGATCTCCCAGGACCGCGCTCCGTTCCATGCTCCCCCTCCCTTCCCTCCCGCCCCCACCACGCCCCCTCTACACGTCTCCGCCCACGCCAGCGCGCCCGCCCACGCCCCTTCTCCTCTGCGAGCAGCCGGCTGGCAACGATCGTGTTTTCCGAACCGCACCGTGAGAAATGAAGCGGGTAGACGAAGGGAAAAGAGAAAAAAAAGCGATGGATAAGATGAGGTAGCAAATGGGGAAGGCAAGACACTGATGTTATAGGATCGTGGTGCGTCTCAATTTATCGCCTCGTGATAGTAAGACATTCACTGTTAGGAGATAAGAATGCACATTTCAGATCTTTTGATTTTGACGTGTCTCTAATTGAAACTCGACTCCAGAATTATATTCTTTACAGCAAAACTCATGTAAAAATCAATATTATATAATTATCAAGCGTTTTAAAAACAATGTTTTAACATTAAGTACCCTTGGTGTTTTTTGTATTTTCTTCGTCATTAAATGTTTCGATACACTTTATATTAATACACCATTTATTTAATTTATCACTCATTCTTCACAACAATTTGTCACATATTAAATCTGTTTATAGTAAGTTTATTAAACTGAATGATGGGTACTGAACTTCCCATGCTTTGTCTTCCTAGAAATCTGCCGAACTCTGTTGAACAATATAGCAGCAAATGGCGGCAATGACGGATATACATGTTCAAGTACTCTCACCCAACGCCAGGCATACAGTTTTAATGGGAACTTACGCGACTCCCATAATGTGTTTACAAGCTCGCTCTCATTCTGAGATAATTAAACCCAGGTAATGTCGTTTGCTCCATAAATCGTTGTTTGAATTATACAGTGCATGCATTGATGTACTGGCCGCAGGCCGCAGTGACCTGGCGAGTAACGTGGTTGTGGCAGGATTCACCATTTTCTGCCTCCGAATTCGCTTATGCGAGGTGTTTTTATTATGTATAAATCTGCAATGAATTTTTACTTTGTTTTACCGCTATCGTTTTTTCTGTATGTAGTAAGAATCAATTCATAATTAGAACTGTTTCAAAAGTGCAGTTCTGGACACTAGAAAACAATATTACATACATTTTATTGAGTCCAAGCCCTAAAATTTGGCAAATTAGTTGAAAATCGATAACACGTCCAATAGATGCTATGATAAGGATGAGACAAATTAATGAACTTTTAAACAAAATAATTATTTCAGAGCTGATCCCAATATTATAAAATAAATAGTTATTCTCAAATCTCCTTTTAATTCGTGAAAAACAGATACATATGCTAATGATTGCAACATGCTTTTAAAATAACACAAGT